AATTGCTCTCTATAATGTAGGTGGGCCTCATCCAATCAGTTGAATAGAACAAAAGACTGACCTCCATGGAATAAGAAGGAATTAGCCAGCAGACAGCCTTTGGACTTGAATGACAACACTAGCTCTTCCCTGGTCTCCAGCTGACAACCCACCTTGAAAATTTTGGACTTGCCAGCCTCCATAATTACACGAACCAATTCCTTGAAATAAAAGATAGATAGATAGATAGATAGATAGATAGATAGATAGATAGATAGATAGATAGAGATAGACAGACAGACAGACAGACAGACATGCATACAATTTGTTTCGTTTCTCTGGAAAACCCTAATATATCGATTTAAAGTTGATCTTACTGATTTCTTCAAGGCTGAATATATGTATTTTAAATTTCTAAAGCATAGAGAGCTCTCAATAATTAATAACAGAAATCCCCTCAAAGTAGCTAAAGAAGGGATTTATTAGCTAATGTCATTGCAAAGGACAGGGATACAGCTTCAGACACACCTATATTCAGACACAAAAACAGTGCTGTCAGAACTCTCTTTGATTCTCTCCCTGACCTTATGCACAGTGAAATGACCCCCAAACAACTCTAGAATCACATCTTTACTGCTTGTAGCCCAAGGGGAGAGAGGCTATTCCTCCATCCTCACTTTTCATATTCTAGGCAAGTATTCTAATCAGTCCAATACAGACTCCTGCACCCCACTCACTCCTCGCTCCTGTGGCAGAGGGTAGGACACTGTGATTAGACAGTCCTACCAGCACCGCATAGACTCCTTATCTTTAAAGGGAAGGTGTTGCTTAAAAAAAAGAAGGGACATCTGGAAGACACAAACAAAAGATGTCCACTATTAGAGGATGTGGAGAAACGGGCACCCTCCTACACTGTTGGTGGGAATGCAAACTGGTGCAGCCCCTCTGGAAAAGTGTGGAGGTTCCTCAAAAAATCAACACTAGAACTCCCCTATGACCCAGCAATAGCACTGCTAGGAATTAACCCGAGGGATACAGGAGTGCTGATGCATAGGGGCACATGGACCCCAATGTTCACAGCAGTACTCTCAACAATAGCCGAAACATGGAAAGAGCCTAAGTGTCCATCAACGGACGAATGGATCAAGAAGATATGGTTTATCTATACGATGGAATACTACACGGCAATGAGAAAGAATGGAATCTGGCCATGTGTAGCAACATGGATGGAACTTGAGGTTGTTATGCTGAGCGAAATAAGTCAGGCAGAGAAGGACAGCTACCACATGTTTGCACGTATAGGAGGATTAGGAGGAACTTAATGGAGGACCGTGGGGGAGAAGAAGGGGGGAAATAGTGGGGAAGAGGGAGGGAGGCAAACCATGAGAGACTCTTGAATGTTGAGAACAAATTGAGGACTGATGGGTGTGGGGGGGAGGGGAAGGGGTGATGCGCATGGAGGGGGATACTTGTGGGGATGAGCACTGGGTGTTATATGGAAACCAAGCTGACAATAAACTATTTAAAAAAAAATAAAATATGATGCATTCTAAGACATACTATTATGCATAAAAAGTCTTGAATGTTATGAAAATATTCTTCTGGTATAATGTCAAGTGGAATAAAACAAGTTGCAAAATTAAAAAAAAAAAAAAAAGATGAACACAGTCTTGACTGCTCCACTAGGAAACTTCAGGTTTAGGAATAAAAGATGCGGACTCCAACTAGATTTAATATACTCCCCTATATTCCTCTCTGGGGTGCCTCCAAACTTCTTGGTAGGCAGAACCTGGGCCACAGCTTTCTAGCTCTGAAGGAGGAAACTCATTCTACTGCCAAGAAATTGTCCACAAATGGGAAGCCATGAGATTAACTAGTCCTATGTACTATTTCTGTTCTGTAGGAAGTGATCAGAGCTTGAATGGAAGCAGACCCATTCAGGGAGCTGCCTAGAGCTGAAAGAGCACTAGAAATGTAAGGTGACAGGAGAAAAAACAAAACTATTTTCTTGTTCCTTTCAGGGGACACAAAGGCACTTCTGCAGAGCCTGCAAGCACCCTGTGGAGATTCCATAGATAACTCTGCTGCAGGGCGGAATGGAAGTATAAACCTGGTTTTTCCCAAAGGGGTGTAAATACCCACTGGAAGAGCAGCTGGCCTCATATTGCTGGAAAAAGGGACGGCGGAGGGGCCGGGGGGTGGGAAGGACACATACGCACATACCACTGCTTTGGCCCATTAGGGTCAGGAGCAAATAGAAGATGGAAAAGGCTTGACCCACTAAAAAGCAGTGGCTATGAAGACAAGGAATGTTCTCTCTCCTCCCTCAGGTAGGAATACTCAGGGGGGGTATGTGGGTCCAATCCCCTTAAGGCAGTAGTATAGCAGCAACGTGCATAGGCTCTGGAGCCACAATGCCAGGGTTCACGTTCCTGGCTTTTTCCACTGAAGTTGTATGGCAATGGAAAATATACTTCTCCCTGTGCCTCGTGGGGAAAATAATAGTTACCAATCTCATAGGATTAAATGACTTCATAAATGTAAGATGCTTAGAATAGTGTTTGTCACATAGTGAATGCCAATGGAAGTTTGCTATTTTTAAATATTTTGTTCCTTGTCATTCTGGATAGAGCCTCATCCTAATTTTAATCAGCAAAATATCCTCCAAGTTCTTGGCTGACTCTTAGCCAATGATCTTAGTTTCAAATACCTATTGAAATGTTCCATATTTATAAAGTGTTTTCGATAATGATTGCAAGATTTTCTATATTTTAGGGGATTAATTTTTGTGTTCACCAAACACAACTAATGGTGAATGATTGCTTCCTTTCTTTGGGACTATTTAGGAGAATATTAAGTGTAAGATAAACATTCAAAAATAAAAACTTTTACCTGATTAAACCATACCTTCTACCTTAATCTTTGATTGAAAAAGTGGCTGAATAAATTTAAAAATAAATTGATTTTTTAATGTTTATTTTTGAGAGGGAGAGAGAACAGGTGGGGAAGGGGCAGAGAGAGAGGGAGACACAGAATCTGAAGCAGGCTCCAGGCTCTGAGTGGTCAGCACAGAGCCCAACGTGGGGCTCAAACTCATGAACCACAAGATCATGACCTGAGCCAAAGTCAGATGCTTACCCAGCTGAGCCACCCAGGTACCCCAATTTGTTTTCATTTTAAGATTGATATTTGGCACTAACTGCCACAAATAAGCAGTAAAATTATGTACCAAGTCCTCCATGATTTACCAAGGTTCTTTGTTAGAAGGCAGTCAGCCTCAAATGACAGAAAACCTAACAGAAGTTGTTAATAACAAGAAAACTTATCTCACATGACTCTGAAAACGGGTGGTTCCCAGGCTAGCTCAAAGGTCGATAATGTCCTCAAGGATCCAAGCCTCTTTTCCTTCCTCTTTGCCATTCTCAGTGGACTGGCTTTTCATCATGATTTCAAGTTGACTGTCAAAGCCTTAGACATCGTCTTCATTCTATAGCATACCAAACAGGAAAGGAAGGAATTGGTGGGAAAAGAGCCTTCTTTACATAAATTAACTCTCTCTCTCTTAGTCGGGGAAGAAAATCTTAAAAACAGGCCATTAGACCCTCCTTGGCCAGAGCTGGGCCGTGTGTCCACACCTAGACTAATTACTGGCAAAGAGAAAAGTAAAATGACTGGTTTAGATTACTTATAATTTATCCCAAGGTGGGACGTACCTTCCCTGGTTACACCACAACCAAACGATAATTGGGAGGGCCTCTCTCGGTAAATGCAGGGGTACATGCTGGGTAGGCGATAATGAGTTGCTGCAGCACTCTGCTCCTCCCACTGCCCGCTTCTGTACCATTTCCAGGTAAGCACTTTGACCTTACACTCAGGCCATACTTAGCTTCTTGCAGTTTCCAAATACATTTCACAGCTGCCAGGTTCTGTTTACACTGCTCTGTATGCCTAGAATGTTCTTCCTCCCACCTTTCCTTTCTGCCTTTTGCAGAAGATCTTCCCAATACCTTGGCCTCTCAGTTCCATGATTTCCACTCCTCCAGTAATCTAACTCACCCCCAACCTTCGCCCCTTATTTCATGGCCATACCCAAGACTCGTCATTAGCTGATCTCCTTCAGAGTCTCCATTTCCTGTAGCTTCTACTAGCTCAGGGATCAAATTCTCCAAACCCACTATCTGGTTCTATGAACCAAAGGACAAAAATATAAACCTTAAATTTCCAGCATTCACAAATACTGGAGTTCTTCCTGTTTCCATCCCTAGTTTCCTATCCATACTTTTGGAGACCAGAATTCCAGAAATACAATGTACCACTGTTATTTCCCTCTTTCCTATCCTGATACTGTCTGTGAACTATTGTCTCTGAATTATTATAAAAAATGAGAGAGAAGGGTAATTTACTATTTTGGCTACCTCTATGGTAGAAAGATTACTGTCCACATTTCTTGCATGGCACAGTCAGGAGTCAGGAGAAGCCAGTGGAAGAAGGACCAAAGCAGTTTCTCATCTTTTTTTCCAGAGACTGTGCTTCATAAAATAAAGCCTGAACATACTAAGGCAGTTTTTCCACAATTCAGCCTACTGTGTCTTATATCAGTGGAAATTCTGTCTACATTCTGGAACTGGGTTATCAGTTTTCAGCATTCTGTTTGTTTATTTGTTTGTTTTGGTCTTTTAGTGAGAAGTCATGTGCTATATATATATACATTGGGGGCTACCAGCCAAATACTATTTTTTCTTAAATTCAGTAAAGATAGTTTCAAACATTTCACAAAAAGCTAACCCATTTTAGAATATTTTTTAAAGCATTCTCCTTATTTACTTCTCTGTATAAAAAAAGTAAATAAATTATATGGGGGGAAATGAACTGCTTCACATATTATGCAAAGCAGGAACCACGAGAAATGAAGAACAAACATTAAAATATCCCTGGATAAAATCCACGTGTATAGAAGATGACTCAGGATGTTATAAATAACTCATATGAGGTAAAGCAAACATGCAATATTTATACATCAGTCTCTGAAAAAAGGACATATTTTATTAATCCTCAAGTTCCTTAGCAGATTAATAAGAAAAGCTTGGTATATATTATCAAGAAGTCCAACTGCTGGGCCCAAAGAAAACTCTAATTATTTCAAGGTGAGTTTGCTTCTTTTTCATCAGATTCATCATCCATAACCTAAAACCAAAAAAAAAAAAAAAAAAAAAGAGAGAGAGAGAGAGAAAATAAGAATTAAGAAAAGGATTCGAAATTGCTATTTTCCTGATTTTTATCCTTACTTGTTTACCTGAAATACTCTATTCTATAATTCTATAATAATGCATGTCAATCCATTAAGAACAATTCTATCAATAGCCCCCAAAGTACAAGGTTTGTCTTATAACTGGTATTGCAACAACACAAAAGCAAATTTAATATTAACAAATTAATTAAGTACTGGTCTCTTTTGTTTGTCCCCCCAAAAAATCTTCCAGTAGCAGAGTTTGAGCCTGACACTAACTATAGCCACTAACTAAATGGTATTTCCTAGCCACAAGACTAATGTAATTGACTGTTTGTTTGTTTTTCCCAAAAGTATTCTGTTTACTTAAATATCTTCTGGGGAGCCACACCAAATTGTTATTACCAAAATATATATTAGAAAAATGAATCCCTAAAAAATGTAAAGAAACAAAAGATCATACTAGCAACTAATTATTTTGGTATTACTCAGATAAAAATTCATTTTAAACTTCAGAAAAATATGAGGACATTTATTTCTATCAAGTTAAAATATTAGAAAAATACTAATGAATGCCTGGTTTAAAAAAATGAAAAGATTAACATCTTTTCATGGGCTAACGTATTACTCAGAAAATAAAGAGCAACTTCTTTGAAGAGGAAAAGAATTCTATAAGCCTAAGAAATATTTGTTTTTGTCTTCAACACACCTACTACAATTAAATACCAATTCAAGTTTATAATCTAACTACCAATTCCTTACTCCATCCTGGACAAGTGAACAAAATGTTCCTTTATCAATCCACCAAAGTGTCAAATAATGCAATTCTTTAAAAAGGCATAAAGGGCATAGAGAAGATAATGGAACAAAATAAGTTTTTCTCTCTCCTTCTTTTCAATATTTATTTTTGAGAGAGAGAGAACAAGCGCATGCACACAGGAGGGGCGGAGGGGGCAGGGGAGACAGGATCTGACGTGGGCTCTGTGCTGATAGCAGAGAGCCCAACGTGGGGCTCAAACTCACGAACTGTGAGATCATGATGAGCTGAAGTCGGACCCTTAACCCACTTTTGTTTCTTTACATCTAAAAGAATCTGGTTCTGACCTGACACTATCATGGAAAAATAATTCTCTTATGGTTTCTCTTTTGAGTTGAGTAAAATTTATAATATTTACTTCAAGGAACTAGTATTTTATAATCAATCTCAGCAACACTCAAAATTCAAAGAATTTTGTCAATCACTTCCTATTTTCGGCAGAACATTCCTAAATTTGGAAAAATATTTCCAAATACTTATTTAATACAAACAATGTACACAACATGTATAACACCTAGGGCTAAGTGTCGCAGAGGAACACAAAGACCTGGATACGATTACAAGTCTCTCAAGGAACTTAACCCATAAACGTTAAGTCTAAAACACACACACACTGAAAGAGGCTTTGAAGCAAAGCAGAGCTTAAGTCCAAGCAGAGGACTGATAAGGCCTTCAAAGAGGAAATGGCAGGCACTGAATCTGAACTGTCATATAATATTGGCATACCTGTTCTACACCCTCTACTTCTGGAATATAAAACTGCAGCATGTTCTGAATTCCATTTTTCAGAGTAATCATTGAGCTGGGACAGCTGGTACAAGAACCTTGGAGTTTGAGCTGTACAATGCCATCTTCAAAGCCTTTATAGATAACGTCTCCTCCATCTTCCTGCACAGTTGGCCTGTGGTCATGGAATATTTGTGATGTATGTAAAAGAACTTAAGTATCAATCAAAAAAATTTAAAACAACTCAGGGCTTAGATGTTATACCAGTAAAATTCACAAAGTTAGAGCTACCTATTACAATAGAGAAGGAGAACTATAGTTATTCTCATTTGTAACTCTCTTTTTATTTTTGGATAAAATGCCAAAATTCATGCATCAAATATTCTCCACTTGTTATACTTTAATCTTGCTTACTAATAATCTTTTCAGGCATTTAAGATCTCAAATTTCCCAATAATTACAGGGATTACATAAGATATAATCATTCACTTCTTCTGAGTGAACAGAGGCCGACTGACACGACACATGCTGGCTTTTTTTTCCCCCTAGGTAAACTAAGTAACAAAATATAACATTTATACAGAAAATGTATAAGTCATATATGACCAATTAAATGAATTTTCACAGAGTGAACACACATTTGACCCAGGCCAAGACACAATTTTAGCACCCCAGAAGTTCCCTTTGTACTTCCTTGCAACCAAAGGTAACCATATTCTAATTGCTATTACCATTGTTTAATTCTGTTTTTTAACTTTATAATTTATAAATATAAATTCCATTTTAAATACATACAGTATTTACTTTTTGTATTTGGCTTGTTTTACTCTTTATGAGATTCTTCCACATCATCACATAGGATGTGAAATGTCAGAATTTATCCCTGCTATTACTGATGGACTTTTGGGCTAAAATCAGTTTTTGGCTTTTACAAACAGAACAGCTATGAAGATCCCTGCAGATGTGTTTTGCTATACATATATATATGATACTGGGCACATACCCGAGCATGGAATTGCTGGGTCAAGAATGCACACACATTCAAATGTAGTAGCCATGGCCACAATCTTAGATGCCCTCTGCCCAGCTTCTCATGCTCTAGCCTCACACCAAGAAACCGCAAAATGTCCACAGGAAGCCTTAATGAGCTTCCCTTCTCTCTAGGATCTTGTGTGCTTTGGCAGCTCTCTACTGTTTTCAAATGAAAAAAAATTGATTGTATTTTATCTAGTTTTTCTGGGAGTTCTCACCTGGGGGACTGGTCTGCTATAAGCAAAAGGGGAAGCCTGTGGTTCTGCACTCATCGAAATTTACTCTTTATGGGACTGAAAAAAAGTACTTCCTTTTCACAATCTTCCTGAACACTGTTTAACTCATTTTTTCACTTTAAGAAATTTGGTATTCCCACAAATCAAACCTAGATGATGACTGTGAACAATAAAGTCCTTCACTATGTTGAGACAGACTGTTTTAATATTTTGAGCAAATAGACACAATGTACAGGCTTTAAATTCAACTGCCATGGTTACCAATTGTGGGTTACATTTACTTGTACTTATTTATTGGAATTTTGTTTTTTGTTCCCTCATGGACAGCTAAAAGTGAACTGCTATAATGAACACTGCCTCTGCAGTATATTTGATTTCAGGCAGAAAAATGAGCATGTACCGTATTCTGGTATCTAACAATTCCTTAATCATTGCCACAACTTCATCATCTTCTTCAGATCCTAGACACAATTACAAATAAAATATATTAACAGTAGAAATTTTATATCCACACAAACACAAGTATTAAAACGGGATGATTTTAACTTAATGTCTCATTAAAAAAATTAAAGCACAGAACATGTAACTTGGTATGGTAATACAAGAAAAATGGAAATGATGGTTGGGGAGACGAAAAGATCATTCGATTCTCTGAAGAAAATTAAGGAGCACTCGTCAACTCAACAGGTGGCAATAGGGGCGCCTGGGTGGCTTAGTCGGTTAAGCGTCCGACTTTCGCTTAGGTTATGATCTCGCGGTTCGTGGGTTTGAGCCCCGCGTCAGGCTCTGTGCTGACTGCCGGCTCAGAGCCTGGAGCCTGTTTCAGATTCTGTATCTCCCTCTCTCTCTGACCCTCCCCTGCTCGCGCTGTCTCTCTCTCTCTCTCCTAGAAATAAATAAAAACCTTAAAAAAAAAAACAAAAAAAAACAGGTGGCAATAAAGGTGAGTAACTGATTTAACTTGACCTACTAGTGATGTTTAGGGGTTAAATTTTTTTAGTCAATAAATTTGTAAACTTTCATCATCTCCAAGGATTGAAAAATGGCAGAGAAAAAAGACTGCCTGGATTCTGATGGAAACTTAGAGACACAAAAGCATACTTACTTCATAAGTTAAAGTTACATTTTTAATTTTTTCAATTTAGTGGTTTTCAAAATGACAATGACACTATAAATATAGATATAACCTTTGTGGAAATTTCCAAAATTTCTGCAAATTTGAATTAAAAAATCAGTTTTTCATTTTGGGTCACTTTTCTTTTTCTTTTACTTTGTAAGGTTATATACTGATCTTCCCCAATGCCTTTTTAAGGGTTTAAAATTTTTTTTTGAAAAAAATAAATAAAATTTTAAAAACGTTTTTAGAAATTTACCTTTAGGAAAACTAAAACTACAGATAATTCAAATTACACTATAATATACACCGGAGTTCTGACAACAATGTAAATAACAATTTTCAATATTAAAATATATTAACTTTGTATCTTTTTTTTAAAGTTTATTTACTTATTTTGAGAGACAGAGTGATGCACACGCCTGCACACATGGGAAACTGGCAGAGAGGGGGAAAGAAAGAATCCCAAGCAGGCTCCAAACTGTCACCATACAGCCTAACTCGGGGCTTGATCTCATGAACCATGAGATCATGACCGGAGCAGAGATCAAAAGTCGGAGCCTTAACCAACTGAGCTCCAACTTTGAGTCTCTCTCTATTTTCTTAATGTTCTTTGTTTTTTAAGTTTATTTATTTATTTTTGAGAGAGAGAGAGAGAGAGAGAGAACAAGTGGTGAAGGGAGAGAGAGAGAGGAAAAGAGAGAATCCCAAGCAGGCTCTGCTGTCAGTGCAGAGCCCTGTGAGGGCTCAAACTCACGAACCATGAAATCATGACCTGAGCCAAAAATCAAGAGTCGCATACTTAACTGACTAGACCACCCAGGTCCCCCTTAAATCTTTTTTCTCTTTTTAATAAAATAAACAAAATATAATAAAGCTAAAATTCTCTTTTGTCAAAACCTAAGTTCTATTCCCCACCATCACTTCCATAAACAACTACCACTATTGTTTCGTATATATCTTTCTAGTGCATTTACATTAAATTTAATGTGCAAATTTACACAGATGAGATCATACTACACATACCATTCTATACCTTTTTTCTATCTAATATAGCCTACAGGTCCATATCAACATATATAGATACACCTCAAATTTAAAATTTTTTTGATGTTTTTATTTTTGAGAGAGAGAATATAAGTGGGGAAGGGGCACAAGGAGACAGAGACATAGGATCTGAAGCAAATTACAGGCTCTGAGCTGTTGGCACAGAACCTGGCATGGGACTTGAACTCACAGACTAGGAGATCATGACCTGTGCTGAAGTCAGATACTTAACCAGCTGAACCACCCAAGCGCCCTGATATATCAAAATTTTTATTATTTTTTTTTAATTTTAAAAAATGTTTTCTTTATTTCTGAGAGAGAGAGGGAGGGAGAGACAGAGGGACAGCATGAGCAGGGGAGGGTCAGAGAGAGAGGGAGATACAGAATCTGAAACAGGCTCCAGGCTCTGAGCCAGCTGTCAGCACAGAGCCCGATGCAGGGCTCGAACCCATGAACTGGGAGATCATGACCTGAGCCGAAGTCGGAAGCTTAACCGACTGAGCCACCCAAGTGCCCCTCAAAATTTTTAAAATAGGTACACAGTAATTGTATAGATTTCTTTTCATTTAGCTAATTTCTTGGTTATTTCAGTTGTTTCCAGTTAGCTGCTATTTCTAACAATCTACAGCATACAAGCCTATGTCAAGTATGACCACTATACTTTTGCAAATGTATCTATGAGATTAATTCCCAGTGGTGGGATATTTGGGTCAAGAGGCTTGTGTATTTTTCAATTTGGGGAGGTGTAATCAAATGGCTCTACAAACACTCTATCAATTTTACATATATATCCACCATGAACACCTATAGTTATTTCATGTATTATTTATAGCTTGCATAAATGGTATATACGTTAAGAGTCTGTAAGTAACCACACCCTTTGATTTTCCTTTTTCAATTAGTATTTTCTTTTATATCTTTTCACATTGTATCTCCCAATTTAGTTCATTCTTTTTAATTGTTTATATATATTTTAAATATTTCAATGAACATGCTTCATGTACTGTTCTGTGTACATTTACAAGATTCATTTCAGGTATATATCTAGAAGTGGAAGTGTTCATCTAAAGGTGACTATACAAATGTTTCTGCATGTACATATATATGTATGTAAACACATGACAATATCTTGATACTAGAGAAAGGAAAAACTTCATCAACAAATTGTAATAACCACAGCTAATATTTACTAAGCTCCATGTGCACTTACTCTTCCAAGTGCTTTACACAAAGTTAACTTATTCAAAAGGTACAAAAGCACAAACCATAAAGGAAAAGATGAATATATGTGACTACATAAAAAGAAAAACTTCTGTACTTGCTTCAACAGCACAAACACTAATACCCGAATGAAACAGAGGAGGTGAACGTGGACTCTGAGCGAAGATTACAAGCAAATTCACAAAATGTTCTTTCAAAAAAAGGAAAAAGACAAATTTCTAAATGATAAGAATCCTAAACACAGGAGAAGGTTAGGAATGGTTATGGAGGTTATTTCCAATAAATATACCTAACAAAGGATAAATGCCCTGAATATTTTTCAAAAACCTGCAAAAATCAACACAAAAAAGACAACCATTTTTTGAACAATGGGAAAAGATTATGAACAGGAAATCTACTGACAAAAATAATGGCCGGTAAACATATGAAAACCTTCAGGCTCAGTTCTCATTAAGGAACTGCAATTAAAACAAGATACCATTTACACTTAACATACTGATTTAAAAAAAAAAAAGTAAAAGACACTAAGTGATGATAAAGATAGAAGAAAGCTCAAATTCTCATATACTACTAATTAGTATATAAATTAAAATAATTATAATACAGCAATTCTGGTTTGATGAATATATCATAAAGAAACTCTCCACCTATGGACAGACTTGTACAAGGTTGCCCACTGCAGCAATGTTTGTAATAGAAATTAGCAGAAACAATTCACTTGACCATAAGGAACAAATTAATTAAGTGTAGTTTCTTCATATAATAGAATACTATCTAGCACTTAAATAAACCAGAACTATATTTTTTCAAAATGGATGTATTTTAAAATATTATGCTCAGTGAAAAAAAAGGCTAATTGCATATAATAATATACATTATTTACATTTACAAACAAAACCCAATACTATATATTCCCCGCAGAGACTTGTATGTGTATAAAAGTTTAAAAACAAACCCAGTTTACACAAATCTCTGGAAGTAGAAAGGGGAAAAGGATGAGGGTTGTGGGATTTTGGTTGTGTCTTTAATGTTTTATTTAAATGTGTGTGTAAAGCTTCTCTTTCCGCCATCTTTGAACCCGTGGAGGCCTGCTGGGAACAGGACTCCTGAAACGACAAATATGTCTGGAAGGTTGTGGTCCAAAGCCATTTTTGCTGGCTATAAACGGGGTCTCAGGAACCAGAGGGAGCACACAGCTCTTCTTAAAATTGAAGGTGTTTATGCCCGAGATGAAACTGAGTTCTATCTAGGCAAGAGATGTGCTTATGTTTACAAGGCAAAGAACAACACAGTGACTCCTGGTGGCAAACCGAATAAAACCAGAGTAATCTGGGGAAAAGTAACTCGTGCTCATGGAAACAGTGGCATGGTTCGTGCAAAATTCCGAAGCAACCTTCCTGCTAAAGCCATTGGCCACAGAATCCGTGTGATGCTGTACCCCTCAAGGATTTAAACTAACTGAAAAGTAAATAAATAAAGGTGTAGATTTGTTCTCTTGTAAAAAAAAAATAAAATAAAAAATAAATGTGTGTGTAAAGCAATTATGACAAAAAATTAACATCTATTAAATCTGAAAGGAGAGCAAATTGGTATACGTTATATTATTTTCTGTATGTTTGAAATTTTTATAATTGAAAAATTATGGTTTGGATAATATATCAATTTGTACACCAGTTTTCAAAAGTAATGGATAAAACTAGTATATGTGAAGTTTTGTTCCCTCAGGAACTGGTTCCAGAGCTAAATGATAAAAATCTGTATTCTCATGATTTCCTTTTTTTTTTTTTTAATGTTTATGTATTTTTGAGAGAGAGAGAGACAGAGTGTGAGCAAGTGAGAGGCAGAGAGAGAGAGAGAGAGAGGCACAGAATCCGGAGCAGGTTCCAGGCTCTTAGCTGTCAGCACAGAGCCTGATGTGGGGATCAAACTCATGAACCATGAGATCATGAACTGAGCCGAAGTCGGATGTTTAACCGAGCCACCCAGCTGTCCCAGTATTCTCATGACTTCTGAAATCATGACAAATGTGAAGAAAGTAAAGCAGTTTTTTAAAAAATTAAAATAAATATTAATTATACAACAAATTACCTGCTTCTCCTGAAGATGTCTCCTCAGTAACTAAGGGTAAGCCAGAAGCAAAGAAATCCATGATTGTTGCATAAATATCTGGTTTCAGTAAATTCCAGTCTAACTCTTCACTTTCCTGTAAATATTTAAAGGAAAATGTTATATTTCTAATCAAGAGTAAAGACTAATACAAAATAATACTCTGAATCTCTTAAGAACTTTGCCTGTGTATATCCTATACTGTACTCTGAATCTCTTAAGAATCTTTTCCACATTCTATAATAGCACTCATTTCTGGAGGAACACATGTTAATTCCAGTTCTTAATAGATCTGGCTTTTAACGACTTTTGGAAGATACAATCTAAGAACATTCCTCATGCATTTATTCATTCATTCATCAAACTTGTGTCAAGTGTGCTGGATGTCTTGTATACGGGATACCACAATGATTAAAATATATTTTTTCATGTGGTGAAGAGAGTTAAAATACTGCATGAATTCTGTGTTTAAAGAGAATGATAAAGAGATTTCCCATTCTTTTAAAGAAAATACAATATAGTTGCTTGACTAAATATACAAGATATCCCCACAAGTATTCAAAGAATTCAACTTACATCTTACTCAAGAATACTGAAGAAACCCAATGATACAACTATAGAAACAAAACATACAAAGTGTCTTATCTATGGCTGTCATGCTAGACGACTTGTGGACCTCCAACAAGCCTGGCATCCTTATGGAAGAATCCATAACTATGTCACCTCTGTGCCTGACCAACTACTTGGTTCCATTAAGAAAAGACAGGAGTATGGGGCACCTGGGTGACTCAGTGAAGTGTTCAACTCTTGATTTTGGCTCAGGTCATGATCTCACAGTTTGTGCAATCAAGCCCTGAGCCCTGAGTTGGTATTCTCTTCTATCTTCTCTTTCTGTCCCTCCTCTACTTGTACCGGCATTCTTTCTTTCTCCTATCGCAAAAACAAATAAAGTTAAAAAAAAAAAAAAGGGGGACAGGACTATTAAATACCTAAATAGTACTAACATCTGAAAAGAGAAAGGGAGCATGTTTTGTTTTAGTTTTTTAAAGAGGAGCTCTTTAGGAGGAAAAACTATTAGATGCATTCCATTTAGATTCTTAGGAGGTTGTTAGCTAGTGCCTATCCTTAAATACTATTAAAAATGAGTCTACATGCATAAAAGGGGCTATTTTTGTCATGGACTAAGAACCAACTTTGAGACACTATACAGAAGACAAGATAAATGGGCACCCCTGTGGATACAAGAACTAGTGAGTTGCCTTGGTGATTGGGAATGGGAACTAGTTCCAGGTAACATTTTAATAAATTATTTGGAAGATGGATCAGAGGGCTACCTAAGATCGCCATTAAATAGTGACCTCTAGGGGCACCTATGTGGCTCAGATAAACAACCACCTTCAGCTCAGGACACAATCTCGCAGTTTGTGAGTTCAAGCCCCATATCAGACTGTCTGCTGTCAGCGCAGAGCCTGCTTCAGATCCTCTGTCCCCCTTTCTCTCTGCCTCTCCTCTGCTTATGCGTGCTCTCTCCCTCTCTCCCCAAAATAAACATTAAAAAGATTTTTTTAAATAAAGACAAATAGTGGGCTCTACTGATTAAGGAAAAATTGATAATAAAAAAATATTCTTTTTAAAAAAATTTTTTAATGTTTATTTATTTTTGAGAGAAGAGAGAGAGACAGAGTGGGAGTGGGAGAGGGGCAGAGAGAAAGGGAGACACAGAATCCGAAACAGGCTCCAGGCTCTGAGCTGTTAGCACAGAACCCAACACAGGACTCGAACCCACAGAGTGGGAGATCATGACCTGAGCTGAAGTCAGTTCAACCAACTGAGCCTCCCAGTCGCCCCAATAAAAAAAATATTCTGAAGTTGTCTATGTGAGAAAAAAATACAGTACATAAGCTTCAAATAAATTTATTTATTTAGAAAAAAATAACAGGCACCCTCCTACACTGTTGGTGGGATGTAAGCTGGTGCAACCCCTCTGGAAAACAGTATGGAGGTTCCTCAAAAAATTAACAACAGAATTCCCCTATGACCCAGCAATAGCACTGCTAGGAATTTATCCAAGGGATGCATACGGGTACATGGACCCCAACGTTCATAGCAGCACTCTCAACAACAGACAAAACATGGAAAGAACCTAAGCGTCCATCAATTGATGAATGGATCAAGAAGACGTGGTATATTTATACAATGGCAATGAGAAAGAATAAAATCTGGCCATTTGTAGCAACGTGGATGGAACTAGAGGGTGTTATGCTGAGCAAAATAAGTCAGGCAGAGAAGGACAAATACCATGTTTGCACATACAGGTAGATTAGGAGGAAGTTAACGGAGGACCATGCAGGAGAAGAAGGGGAAAAATAGTTGGGGAGAGGGAGGGAGGCAAACCTTGAGAGACTCTTGAATGCTGAGAACTGAGGGCTGATGGGAGTGGGGGGGGGGAGGGGGTGACGGGCATGGAGGAGGGCACTTGTTGGGATGAGCACTGGGTGTTAAATGTAAACCAACCTGACAATAAACTATTTAAGAAAAAAAAAAAAAAAGAAAAAATAACAGGCACCTGGCTGGCTCCATCAGTAGAGAATATGATTCTTGATCTTGGGGCTGTGAATTAAAGCCCCATGTTGGGCACAGAGTTTACTTTAAAAACAAAAAACAAAAAAACCCCTGAAATTATCAAAGTTATTTCAAAGGACAGAACAATAGAAAACTATTACTCTGCTAAAGAAATGTATGATTCAGGGGTGCCCTGGTGGCTCAGTCAGTTAAGCGTCCAACTTTAGCTCAGATCATGATTTCACGGTTCACGGGATCAAGGCCCATGTTGGGCTCTGTGCTGACAGCTCAGAGCCTGGGGCCTGCTTCAGATTCTGGTCTCCCTCTCTCTCTCTCTCTCTGCCCTGCCTCGGCTTGTGCTCTGTCTCTCTCTGTCGCTCAAAAATAAATGTTTAAAAGAAAAGAAAAGAAATGAATGATTCACTTTATTTTTTTTTTTAATTTTTTTAATGTTTTATTTATTTCTAGGAGAGAGAGAGAGAGAGACAGCGTGAGCAGGGGAGGGTCAGAGAGAGGGAGTCACAGACTCTGAAACAGGCTCCAGGCTCTGAGCTGGCAGTCAGCACAGAGCCCGATGCGGGGCTCGAACCCATGAACCGCGGGATCATGACCTAAGCGAAAGTCGGACGCTTAACCGACTAAGCCACCCAGGCGCCCCAATGAATGATTCACTTTAAATAAAGGGAAATAGGCAATAGCCAAAGTTATCAGGTAGATGAGATAGTCCATAATGAGAAAGGTGACTGAGAGAAAACAAATCTACTACTCTACCTACTAAATATCAATATATGCCCTAACTTAGATTAATTATTAGTTATGTCATTTCACTTACGGAAAAATAGCAGAGCTAGAGAAATTCCAAAACGAGTAACTAAATTATGAACAAAAAAGGAAATAAAAGATGACTTACCAAAATCAAATCAAAGAAAAAAAAACTCACATAATCACAGTTTTCATCTAAAAAATGTTTATATGCCATTGGCTGTACATAAAAGGACTTAAAAAAAACTTGTTAAAATAAATATTTACTTTGCCATTTATAAAATGAAGACAAGAATATCTAGTTCTAAGAATTAAGCTAGATAATATATATAAAGCACCTCTGCTATGTAAATGCCATATCAGACACATTGGAAATATTGAACAAAAGCTGGTCCTCCCGTAACCCTTAAAAAGTATCAAAGAAAGCAAATTAAAGAATAATAAAGATAGGCCAGATGTCTCTAAAACAGTAAAGACATGGGATCAGTCAACACAGATTTACTCACCACAATCCTTTTGACAGAAACCACTTAAAGCCTGAAAATTTAGTCTATGAAATCATATATCATTGTTTCATTCTACAAAAATTTCTCAAAGTGCATATTTTGTGCCAGGCATTGTTCTAGGTGAATTTAACAAGATAGACAATCTGTATCTTTAAGGAGTTTACATTCCAGTATAGGAAAGGCAGGTAATAAAATAAACCGAAAAAGAAAATGACTAAGTGATAAGGGCAGTGAAGACAATGAACAGGGTAATGAGTTCCTGGATGGATGATTACTTCAACTAATATGGTCAAGAAGGGGCTTTCTGAGAATGTAGAGCTACTAACACTTGAATGACAGGAATGACAGGAAAAAACATTTTACAATCAGGATATCTGCAAGAACAAATATGACCACTGGGATTGACACCACAGAGGAAAACCCTAATTCTCCTCCACACATGAACAGCTACAAAAGAATGCTGGACTATTTATTTGTACCAAGTCACTAACCCGGTCCACTGTTATCAATCAGTCCTATCAATACATCAAGAACTTAGAGCAATCGTTTCAAATTGCTTATGAAGAGTTAAAACTTTTGATGTTGACAAGATACTGAACAGTGATTAAGTTCAGTGCATACATATCAATGAACAGATCTAAAAGAATACATAGTTCAAATTTAAACAATTCATTTCTCATTAATCTAGTATACTTAAAAATGAAACTGCCTTTTCTAGCACATACCACTTCAGCTGTTGAAACAGGCAGCATATTAAACTGATTTTTTTTTTTTTTGACATTTAGAGGTGAACCAAGTGCTACAGAACTACACAGTGCAATGTTCATGTTATAGCAGGATGTACAATGTGGCAGATGCCATGATAAAAGAACCCATTTCGAATGGAGACACATATTCATTCTGTTGGTCAAATATATAAACATGTGCTTCGATTATTTTTCTTTTCTACTCTATCACTTTAAATTAAGAACTAGTAAAAATATCAAATCCATCAATAAAATTTCAACTATGAAAGAAAAAAAGATTAGTAAAAAATAATACTTGGAGCCTAAATTCTAGTTCTGCCCAGGTTGAGCCCTGGCCCTGCTGTAGGATAGATACATAATCCTGGACACAGCATTTAACCATCTGAAGCTAAAATTTTTCTCTTCTGAAAAACAACAGATTTGGATAATTTCAAATTGAAAATTCTATTTAATAATTAACTTGAGAAATGTGAGAGGTAAATTTAACTTGAGGTTTTTAATAACAATATGTATAAAATACATTAAGAAAGGAAATTCAGAAAGGGATGCTGGACTCAGAAAAAACTAAAAGAACGTCACACCTTATTTTATATAATCCTATGTTTACCTTTGTAACAGTGATGAAATCTGGTCCAAAAAAGACACTTTTTACTCCTTCAATCCTAAATAGTTGCCTGTGAATAAATAAAAAATAAGAGATAATAAAATGCTTTATTACAGAAAAGTTTAAACATATACAAAGGTAGAGAGAAAAGTAAAAGAACATTTTCATACCCATCACTAGCATCAACAATTCACAGCCAACAATTATCAATTCATGGTCAATCTTGTTCCATTCTCTTACCCTCTGATCTAGCAATCCCACTCTTAGGTATTTACCTAAGAGAAATGCAAATATGCTCCACAAAGATGTGTACATGTATCTTTATAGCAGCTTTATTTACAAAAGCCAAAAAAAAAAAATATCTGGAGACATCTATCTCTTAGTGAATAACCAAACAGACTGTGTGCACCTGTACAATGGAGTACTACTCAGCAATACAAAAGAACAGACTACTGGTACATACCAAAACAAAGAGGACTCTCAAAAGCATTAAGCTAAACGAAAGAAGACAGCCTGGGTGGTTCAGTTGGTTAAGCATCTGACATCGGCTCAGCTCACAGTCTCATGGTTCGTGAGTTTGAGCCCAATGTTGGGCTCCATGCTGATGGTACAGAGCCTGCCTGGGATTCTCCCTCTCCCTCCCCACCCCCACTCTGCTCTGTCCCCACCTGCACTCTCTCTCAAAATAAATAAACTTTAAAAACAATCTATAAATAAAATAAATGGGAAAAAAAGAAAAGAAGACAGAAGGAAGTCAAACACAAAAGACTATATGGTGCCATATATAAGAAACTCTAGAAAAGGTGAAACTGTGGTGACAGAAAGATCAATAGTCACCAGGATGATAGATGTGTGAACTAACTTTATTACGGTAAGCATTCTGCAATACACACGTATATCAAATCAGCACACTGTATAGTTAAATTTACACAATGTTTTATATCAATTATATCTTAACAAAGCTGGAATTCACTGCCATGAAACAAAATAGTTACTAGGGTATGGAAGTGAAACAAGAATGAATGCAAACAGAAATGAGGGATTTCTGCAGTGATGAAAATATCCTGTATCTTTTAGTGGTAGTTACGCAATTATATATATTTAAGAAAACTCTGGACTGTTCACTTAAAATTGGTGAATTTCATTTCATATAAATTATACCTCATAAAACTAATTTTTAAAATCCTCTAAGATAGGAGGAAGGGAGGATTATAATTTGAAAAGCTCCTACAAGGGATTTTGAAATGCACCTTCCTTCCCCAATCACTGATACATGTACCATACATACCCAGTATACACTCTAGAGCAATTTCCTTTTTCTTGTATCCCTTTTAAGGAATAAAAGCGGACATACTCCAAAAAAGGTTATAGTTTACCTTTTCTTTGTCTATCATTGAAAAAGTGTTACTGGAATTACTATTTTTTTAATGTTTATTTTCAAGAGAGCGTGAGCGAGCACATATGCGCAGGGGAGGGAGGGGCAGAGACAGAATTGCAAGTAGACTCCCTGCTGTCAGCACAGAACCAGATGCAGGGGCTAGAACTCACGAGATTATGACCTGAGCCAAAATCAAGAGTTGGACATTTAACTGACTGAGCCATCCCTTGGAATTAGTACTTTTAAATTATTTAAGAACTTGTCTGAAATGAGGTCACCTGGATGACGTCATCTATACAACCATTCAACATTACATTTATAAAAACTTACAAGATACTTGGTTGCATAGTTTGATCCAATAAACCCAAGCACAGACCTATAAGTATGTCCTTTGATTGGCTCTGTACATCTGCACTGTTAGCAAAGCTTTTTTCTTCAAATGAAAGGACTGTGCAAAAAATCAACCCAATCTTTGGGCCATGTTAGGGGAACTGCTTCAGGCAAGAGTTCATAGGTTCTGTCCCCAAAGAAAGAAAAAGCTGAAAAGGAGTTTCAAACATTATTATACATGCTTTGCCATTTAGGTTACTTTCTTTAGGACAATTCCAACTTCTACAATGTCCAGATTATGACACCCAGAACTGAGCACATATGCCAAATGTAGTCTGACTTACTCAGAGTTCAAAGACTGTAACCTCTCTTGAGCTGGACACGAGGACTCTGTGACTGACTGACTTTTTTGAGTACTGCATCATATCAACAGAAATTACTGAAAGTTAGATTCTTCTATCCCATAATTGTGCGATTCACTTAAAAAATTTAAGTAACAAGGCTTAATATTTGTTCCTGTTAGATTTTACCTTACTTGCTTTAACCTATCATTTTAGCCTAATGAAACTTCTTAAAAATTCCTCTGAATATTGCCACATAACATAGAAACAAGTCTTCCCATCTGGAAACTGATAGTTTTACCATTATTAATGTTGCTGACAGAGAGAAATATTGACTAAACATGGCAACTACAGAGATACTACAGATACTACAGGCCCTCTTACTTGTCTCTAGACAGATTTACACTCAACTTAAATTTCGTTGTCCCATCCGTTAGGATAGTGAGAAACAATTCAAATGCCTCTCTAAATTTGTGGGCCATCTGGATGTCCTCTTTGGAGAAGTGTCTGTTCATATCTTCTGCCCATTTCTTTACTGGGTTGTTTGTTTTTCGGGTGTGGAGTTTGGTGAGTTCCTTATAGATTCTGGATATTAACCTCTTATCTGATATGTCATTTGCAACTATCTTTTCCCATTCTTTTGGTTGCCTTTTAGTTTTTTGGTTTGTTTCCTTTTCTTTGCAGAAGCTTTTAATCTTGATGAGGTCCCAATAGTTTATTTTTGTTCTTGATTCCCTTGCTTTTGGGGATGTGTCAAGTAAGAAGTTGCTGCGATGGAGGTCAAGGAGGTTGTTTCCTGCTCTCTCCTCTAGGGTTTTGATAGTTTCCTGTCTCACGTTCAGGTCCCTTATCCATTTTGAGTTTATTTTTGTGTATGGTGTGAGAAAATGACCTAGTTTCATTCTTCTGCATGTTGCTGTCCAGTTCTCCCAACACCAATTGTTAAAGAGGCTGTCTTTTTTCCATTGGATATTCTTTCCTGCTTTGTCAAAGATTAGTTGGCTGTATACCTTTGGGTCCAGCTCTGAGTTTTCAATTCTATTCCATTAGTCTATGTGTCTATTTTTGTGCCAATACCAAACTGTCTTGATGATGACAGCTTTGTAGTAGAGGCTAAAGTCTGGGATGGTGATACCTCCCGTTTTGGTTTTCTTCTTCAATATTACTTTGACTATTCTGGAACTAGAGGGTGTTATGCTGAGCGAAATAAGTCAGGCAGAAAAGGACAAATATCATATGTTTGCACGTATAGGAGGATTAGGAAGAACTTAATGGAGGACCATGGGGGAGAAGAAGGGGAGAAATGGTGGGGGGAAGGGAGAGAGGCAAACCATGAGAGACTCTTGAATGCTGAGAACAAACTGAAGACTCATAGGTGTGTGTGTGGGGAGGGGGGAGATGGGCACAGAGGAGGGCACTTGTGGGGATGAGCACTGGGTGTTATATGGAAACCAACTGACAATAAACTATTTGTAAAAAACAAAAAAACAAAAAAAAAAATGCCTCTCTGAAGATACACTATCGTTCATTCATTTATTCAGTTACTAATTCAACAAGTATTTGAAAACTTGCTAAATGTCTGACACTGTACTAAGCACTGGAGATACAACGATGACAAGACAAACTGCTCTCTGCTTTCTGGAAGCTTACATTCTAGCAATGTAAACACTGCTACAGCAAAAATATTCCCTGTTAAAACAACAAAAACGAGATTGGTTTTGCTTGACTGAAGATAATAAATTCTGGGAATCCCGGAAATGAGCTACTTTCAAAAGACTAATTTGAAAAGGGCTTTTGCCAACTGAACATCTGACAGAAATAACTAATCTGTAAGTGAACAGAGTCTTCTTACTTTCATATTCTTTCTAAACACAAAATACATGAATTCATTCTTGATGTAAACATTTCAAACTATCTATCTAAAGTGACCATGACTCTGGACCACCCCTCCCCCAAATCCATTGTTACCAGTTGGGTGTACATTCTTCTAGAACTTTATGTTACTGTATTTTTGTTTTGTGGTTTTTATTCTTATATACATAATAATCATATTGTACTCACTGTTCTTTTTATTTAAAAATTTTTTTTAATGTTTATTGAGAAACAGAGAGAGACAGAGCATGAGCACGGGAAGGGCAGAGAGAGAGGAAGACACAGATTCTGAAGAAGGTTCCAGGCTCCGAGCTGTCAGCACAGAGCCCGACATGGGGCTCGTAGTCACAAACCGCAAGACCATGACCTGAGCCAAAGTCAGATGCTTAACCGACTGAGTCACCCAGGAGCCCCTCACTGTTTTTTTTTTTTTTTTTTTAATTTCTTAATGTTTATTTATTTTTGAGAGAGAGAGAGCTGAGCAGAGGAGAGAGAGAGAGGAAGACACAGAATCCAAATCAGGCTCCAGGCTCTGAGCATTAGCACAGAGCCCAACGCGGGGCTTGAATTCATGAACTGTGAGATCATGACCTGAGCCAAAGTGGGATGCTTAATCAACTGAGCCAGCCAGGTGCCCCTGTACTCACTGTTCTGCAACACGCTTTCTTCACTTAACTGTGTGTCTTAGAAGCCAGTCTGTGATAGTAAATGAGGGTTCTTCTCATCTTTTTTAATTATCTGCAGACTATGGATGCACAGTTTATTGAACGCTTCCTATTGATGAATATTTAGGTTGTTTCCAACTTGTTACCATTACCAACAAGGCTATAAGGAACACCACCTTGTATACATATGTGGATGTTCTCTAAAGCAGTGTTTTTCAAGTCCACTAGTTTCTTGGGAAATCAATTAGGTATTGAACGGGACTTTATCTACCATAATAAAAGAGAATAGAATAGAATAAAGAGAACAAGAAAGGAAATAAGAATGTATTACACACTGTCAGGATGAAAACTGTCCCATCGAATACTTGTGTGTAATCTATCTATATACGTGTGTGTATGTATGTACTAGGTTGTAATATAAAATGTTTCTTACTGTGGCCTGCATCAAAAAGTATGAAAAACAAATACTCTAAGGTAAACTATTAAGAAGTGGCATGTGTAGGGGCACCTGGGTGGCTCAGTCGGTTGAGCTCCGACTTCGGCTCAGGTCATGATCTCACAGTTCGTGGGTTCGAGCCCCACATCCGGCTCTGTGCTGACAGCTAGCTCAGAGCCTGGAGCCTGTTTCGGATTCTATATCTCCCTCTCTCTCTGACCCTCCCCTGCACACACTGCCTCTTTCTCTCTCTCTCAGAAATAAATAAAACAGTAAAAAATTAAAAAAAAAAAAGAAGTGGCATGTGTAGGTCAAAGGAAATGTACATTTTTATTAATGAGAAATTTAAAAAAAAACAGACCTGAGATAAGCATATTTCTGGCTCCCATAAATGAGACATATAAAACAACTGTGTGTACAGAAGTAGTTATCTAAGCTTTACTTTCCAAATATCCCCGGCAATCAGTACCAGACTTACGTTACCAAAAATTTCAATTGATGTGGGCTCTAATATTTTTTAATGTTTATTTATTTTGAGAGAAAGAAAGAGAGGAGCAGACAGAGAGAGGAAGAGAGAGAATCTCAAGCAGGCTCCACACTACCAGTGCAGAGCCTGACATGGGGCTTGATCCAAGGAACCGTGAAATCATGACCTGAGCCTAAATCAATCAGACACTTAACTGATTAAGCCACTCAGGCACCTCAGGACTACAGTATTTATTGTAACTTCTCTAGCTATCACTAAAAAGTTGTTCATTCCAATAATTTCATTGTTTGTCCTTCATCATCTGACATACATTTAACATGTCTTTAACTAGTGAATTTTATTTTTAAATGCTCATTTATTTATTTTGAGAGAGAGAGAGAGATCGTGGAGGAGGGGCAGAGAGAGAAAGGGACAGAGGACCTAAAGCGGGTTCTGTGCTGACAGCAGACAGTTCAATACAGGGCTCAAACTCAAAAACCATGAAATCATGATCTGAGCTGAAGTCAGCCACTTAACCAAATGAGCCACCCAAGCGCCCCTCTAGCGAATTTTAAAATGGTCTCCCACTGACTGGTCTTTAAAAAATCATGCCAAATCTGAGAACTATTATTTGTTATAGTTCTTTCTGAGTGGAATATTTTAGAAACTACTCCATTTTGAAACATCTAAAAATTCAGCTATCCTTAGGAAAAATGAATAAGTTTCAATGATTTTTATAAAGTTAAAAAAAAATTTTTTTTAATGTTTATTTTTGAGAAAGAGAGACAGAGTACGAGCAGGGGAGGGGCAGAGAGAACCGGAGACATAGCATCCAAAGCTGGATCCAGGCTCTGAGCTATCAGCACAGACCCTGATGCAGGGCTCAAACTCACAAACCGGGAGATCATGCCCTAAACTGAAGTCAAATCCTCAACCAAGCCACCCAGGCGCCCCTATAAACAGTTTTAAAGATTTAGAATGGAAATTTATCATATTATCATTTTGATAAAAAATTTTTTTTAAAGATCTATGTGTGTGACTAATTTTTTTTTTTTTTACAAATAGTTTATTGTCAAATTAGTTTCCACATAACACCCAGTGCTCATCCCCACAAGTGCCCTCCTCTATGCCCATCCCCCCTCCCCCCTACATCCATCAGTTCTCAGTTTTTGTCAGCATTCAAGAGTCTCTCATGGTTTGACTCTCTCCCTTTCCCCCACCATTTCCGCCCTTCTTCTCCCCCTTGGTCCTCTGTTAAGTTCCTCCTAATCCTCCTATACATGCAAACATATGATATTTGTCCTTCTCTGCCTGACTTATTTCACTCAGCATAACACCCTCAAGGTCCATCCATGTTGCTACCCATGGCCTTTGATAAAATTTTTTAAGTAAAAATATAAATTCTTATTTAATCATGATATAGATCTCTCAAATCCAACACTTTTCAGGAGAAGAATTTCCTAATATCACTATTGTTTTCCTTAATCTCTTAACTGAAAAGAAACTAAAGCATTCTTCATGTTGAAAACAGTGTAGTACACATAAAAAAGCAATCACCAAAAGAGGCTGCCTCACCCCCAAAGTCAATTATGTTTCTTGGTAAAGCCAATAAGAAATTGTAATATACCTAGCCAGAGGTGAGCGAAATGCTGCAGCTGGTGTTGGAAAATCCATGGTTCTTGTCTCAAGAACTGGTTTTCCTGGAATAAACTTTAAACTGTTGGGATTTGGGGTATCTTGTGTTTGAATAAACATGTATCTCACTAAAAGAGAAAAAAGAAAAAAGAATGTTATTCCAGAAAAAAACAATAGATAAGTTTATGGACTATGAAGTGCTCATTTTCAAAGAATCAAAAGAAGAAAAAAGAAAATAAATTTGCCCAGGCTGACAAAATAATTTTTAAAGACAACATTGAACTTTATCAATACAGAATAATTGCACTGAATTTTATATTAATACTGATTAGTTTTGCCACTCAACAGATTCTACCAATATCCTATTTAAAAAAAGATTTTTTTTTTTTTTTTTTTTTAACAAGGCAGAGAGAGATAGAGCATGAACAGAGGAAGGGGCAGAGAGCAGGAGACACAGAATCTGAAACAGGCTCCAGCCTCTGAACTGTCAGCACAGAGCCTGACACAGGGCTTGAATTCATGAACCGTGAATTCATGACCTGAGCCAAAGTTGGCCACTTAACCAACCGAGCCACCTAGGCACCCCAGCAATATCCTACTTTTAACTAGGAAGGCATATCATCATTCAAGAGTCTTAAATGTATTTTATTTGTTGACTTAGTACTAATGGCTATCACAATCATAAATCATCATCACCATGACATTAAAAACAGTAAAATGTTACATTTTCTTTTCAAAGTGCTTCCATTCTTTTATTTTAAAAAAATGTTTATTTTTTAAATATTTTCATATTTACTTATTTTTGAGAGAGAAAGGGAAAGAGACAAGAGTGGGAGAGGGAGAAGGGCAGAGAAAGAGGGAGACACAGAGTCCAAAGCAGGCTCCAGGCTCTGAGCTGTCTGCACAGATCCCCACTGCGGGCCTCTAACCCATGAACTGTGAGATCATAACCTGAGCCAAAGTCAGTTGCTCAACCAACTGAGCTACCCAAGAACCCCAATTTACTTGAGAGAGAGTACACGCATGTGCATGTATGCACACATGCAGCGGAGGGGCAGAGCAAGAGGGAAAGGAATCCCTAGCTGGACTGTGGAGCCAGATGTAGAGTTCAATCCAAGAAACCCTGAGATCATGACCTGAGCTGAAATCAAGATTCTGAGTGAGACACCCAGAAGTCTGGTTAACATCCTTTTAAAGACAAATTTATAATAGTAACTAATATTTATTGTGTGTGTACTTACTACACACAAGAGACAGGGCTGAGTGCTTTATATATATTTAAGCCTTTAACAATACTATGAAGAAACCCTATTACAGCAAAACCTTGGTTTGCAAGTATAATTCATTCTGGAAACATGCTTATAATCCAAAGCACTTGTATATCAAGGTGAATTTCCCCATAGAAATAATGGAAACTCAGATGATTCATTCCACAACCCAAAAATATTCATATAAAATGATTACAATACTTTAACATAATACAAAATAATAAAGAAAATACAAAAACCAAATTAACCTGCACTTACCTTTCAAACGTTCATGGCTGGTGTGAAGGAGAAGAGAGAGAGGAGGGTTATTGTGTAGGACAACTTTCACTCTCACTAACGAAATCACTGCTAGCTATTGGCTCAACAGATCTTTTCCTGCATGGAGGCCACTGTATATGCTCGCATGGATGTTGACTATAGTACAGTACTAATACACTCTTGTCATATATTGTATTTAATGTAACTGGCATTAAGGCAGCAGAGGAAAGGGTCTGTATCTGCAGGCAGCCTGACCTAGAATGAAGCAAAGCATTCCTAAGCTTACTCTTGTATGGAAACACAAAGGACTGTCCCTAGGTTCTCTGAAGTGACAGAAAATACACGAGCGCCAGTTATGGGCACCTCCCAACATTCTGAAAAATCACTGATTTCTGCCAAACACCACGGCCTGAGACTGAGCATCCTTGCATCGAAGATAACTCACAATCCCGCAGAGAGAGAGAGAGAGAGAGAGAGAGAGAGAGAGAGAGAGAGAGAGAGAAAGAGAGAGAGAGAGAGAGAGAAAGAAAGAGAGAGAGAGAGAGAGAGAGAAAAGAACCATTGGCTCAGTTGTGATCATGTGACGTCTGGCGTCATGTACTACTCATATTGCAAGACATGGCTTGTTTATCAAGTTAAAATGTATTAGAAATGTTTGCTCTTCTTGCAGAATACGCACAGAACAACTTACTCGCAATCCAAGGTTTTACCGTATTCCCATTTTACAAATGAAGAAACTGAAGCTTACAGTTAAGTAATTTGCCCAATGGTACAGTTGGTGACATTATAAATTATCATGTAAGTGAAAATCTGTGTGAATTACTTTCTGGAATATTTTTAACTTATCTTATAGGTTCTTTTTTGTTTCTTCTAAGGCCACGAATAGATTAAGAATGAATCCATTAAAGGAATAAAAAAATGAACAGAATCTTTGCTTTCCTACCTTGCTATCATAATAGCTTTTAGGACAAAAGATAGTACTGGGGTAAAACTACTAAATAAGCCCTGATTATTTATTATGAAAATAAACCTTTCAACCACAACAAAACAATTCTCATCTTAGAGCAGTGTAATGAAATAGCTGTTTCCTCTCTCTCTCAGAAATAAAAAAAAGAAAGAAAGAAAGAAAAAGAAATGAAATTTGGCAAAATAAGTGATTGGTATGGAAGTGTTGTTTTTACTCATTGTAAGAGAAGATTCTAATTTGACAGCTGAGAGTGGTTTTTGCACCTTGCCAAGTAGCCATCTAACTGACATTGCATGATTTCCCTGGTGAAGGAGACTGAAACTAAAACTCCCATACATTTTAAGTCACTGTCCTATAAAGATATCAGTTGGTGACTTGGTAACCAGGAAAATCCTAAAAAAAAGAGAAAAATTTTAAATGATAATCTCAGGAGCACCTGGGTGGCTCAGTCGGTTGAGCATCTAACTCTTGATTTCGGCTCAGGTCATAATCCCAGGGTTGTGGGATTGAGCCCGACATTGGGCTCCCTGGCTCTTTGTGGAGCACTGAATGTCTCTCTCATTCTCTCTCTCTTTCTTCTCTCTCATTCTTCTCTCTCTCTCCCCTACTCCTGCCCCTTTGCTCATGCTTTCTCTCTCTCAAATAAAAAAGAAGCAAAAATAAATTTTAAAAATAATAAAAATTAAAAAATAAATTTTAAAATTAAAAACAACAGCAAAAATAAAATAAAATGATAACCTCAAGGTCCTAATACTTTCTTCTTTTCTTTTTTTTTTTTTTTAATTTTAGAAAAAGAGAGAATGAGTAAGTGCAGGTGAGAAGGGCAGAGGGAAAGGGGAAGAGGAGGAGAGAGAGAGAGAGAGAGAAAAGTTGAGAGACTCTCAGGCAGGCTCCACACTCAGCAAGGAGACTGACTCGGGGCTCAATCCCATGACCCTGGGATCATGACCAAGCTGAAATCAAGAGCCAGAAACTCAACCAACTGAACCACTCAGGCACCCCAAAGTCTAAATACTTGATATCAAATACTTCAAACCAATAAATTCCTCTGAAAATCTATGTGACATGGGAACAATTTTTCAGATGGAACATTAAAGAATGGACTGCCAGGGCGCTTGGGTGGCTCAGTTGGTTAAGTGTCCAACTTAGGCTCAGGTCATGACCTAGAAGTTTGTGAGTTCAAGCCCTGCATCAGGTCTGTGCTGATAGCCTAGAGCCTGCTTCAGATTCTGTGTCTCCCTCTCTCTCTCTGCCTCTCCCCTGCTCACACTCTGTCTCTCTCTCAAAAATAAACAAACATTAAGGAAGGAAGGAAGAGGGAGAGGGAGGAAGGACTGTCACCAATTTCTATAAATGTAAGACAACAAGCTTCTTTTAACTTTGGTTATGACCAATCATTTCTTAAGACCTTTCTTAATAATTTATTGGTAACCAAAACCTCTGCACAAACTAAGCATTCTACCACAACATTTGAAGAACTAACTGTGGCATTTTTCTTTCTTTTCTCTCTCTTTCTTTTTTTAAAGTTTTTATTTTAGAGAGAGAAATGGAGAGTATGTGAGTGGGAGAGAGGGGCAGAGGAAAAGAGAGGGATAGAGAATCTCAAGCAGGCTCCATGCTCAGTTCAGAGTCCAACACGGGGCTCAATCCCATCACCCTGGGATCATGAGCCAAGTCAAAATCAAGAGCTGAACTCTCAACCGACTGAGCCACCAGGCACCCCTTTGCAGTTTTCTACTCAATCCATTTGTGTACAACTATACATGCAGAATGAAAAACTTTTAGAAATACTTGAAGGTAAAAACTGTAAATATGGGGTGCCTGACTGGCTCAGTCAGAAGAGCATGCAACTCTCGATTTCACGGTCATTCAACCCCCATGTTGGGAGTAGACGTTACTAAAAAAAATAAATAAAAACTTAAAAAAAACTATAAATGTAAAAGAAATTTAAGAGAGCATAATCTATATACACTTTCTGAAGTAGAAAATATATGACATCGCGACATAAACTTTCTCTTTTGACAATGAACAAAGCTTTTTCAAAGTAGTAATTTGACTAGGCATTAACAAAATCATTTCAATTATAGTCTAAACTGGATTTATCAGTATTTCAGAAATGATCCCCAGGTCCATCATCCAGAAAGACCCCCGTGAATGTGTCATAAGGGTTACAACAAAATGGACTGATGTAAAATAACTTTCCTATTATGCTTGGTACTAATAGGTAATAGACAGAAGCTCTTCCCAAACTCCAAAACTACAAATGTATGATGCTTAAAGTCAGTATCAAAGACTAAGATCAGTGGGTTTCCTATTTGAAAAGCCTGAGGACCACTGAATTCCACCCTACAAAATTTAAAAGTCCAATTAAAGTAGCTTAACATGCTGAGTAACTCACTATTTATGTCTAAATTTTCAATTTGTGAATCAAGAAGACATCCAAGTTCTCCTCCTCTTGCCCCAATATATAGGAGAGGTAAGGTCTCGATCTACCCAGATCCAGCTCATGTGGTTAGCCAGAGTCAGCTACCTGCCAGAGTATGGTCACACGGTGTTCAAGGTAGTGACACAATGGGAGAGGGCCCAAGGGCTGAATCCAAACTCTTACAGCTCCCCAAAGGCTTACACACACAAAGGCACACATTTCCACACAGACACACAGAGACAGCTCCCAAGGTTCCCCAGCCACATGACACTTGGTCACATTTCAATAATTTTCAAACCCCGTCTTCATTTGCTATTTCCAATACTAATAAGAAAAAAAAAAAAAAAAGCAAGTAACATCAACAAAATTATCAAGAAAGGCATAGTTAATTAATTTGGATGCAAAAAAAAGAAAAATTACATTGAAAGTACTACTTCCTAAAGCCTTGATGAAAGCTAGAAATTTACTGAATTTAGATGCGTTCTTGTCAAAATAAGGACAGTAGCTTAAAATACATATGATTTTTTGAAACAAACCCATTTATAACTTCTTTTTATAATATTTTCATTTCAGAAACCATTTCCTGGGGGTACCTGGGGGGCTCAGTCGGTTAAGCATCCGACTTCGGCTCAGATCATGATCTCACGGTTCGTGGGTTCGAGCCCCGCGTCGGGCTCTGTGCTGACAGCTAGCTCAGAGCCTGGAGCCTATCTTCGGATTCTGTGACTCCCTCTCTCTGTGACCCTCCCCTGCTCACACTGTATCTCTCTCTCTCTCAAAAGTAAATAACACATTTAAAAAAATAAAAAAATAAATAATTTCCTGAACAATGTTCCAGAAGATGTGTTATACAAGATACTGAGATTTCATAGATCTATTGGACACTGTGCTCAGGATTCTTGAAATCTAATGCCAAGGATATGTGTAACAGTCAAGTGTGAAATTATGATACAAAAAAATGCTATGTTCTTTTATGCATCTGAACAGAAAATTTACAAACTCTCATCCTTTATGATCCACAAAATTCTGAGTATAGTTTCATTAGTTTCTGAAATGTAATTTGTTGTAAAAGAGGTGAAATTTTACCTGTGTTACGTAAGGTTGCAGGCAGTGGGAAAAGTGGTCTTTGTACAAACTGATGCAGAGGCTGTTTTTTCATGGTGTATGGATTCATCATAGGACAGAATCTACATTTAAAAACAAACAAAAATAACATTTCAAGAAATAATCTTTTAAGCTCAGTTTCTATTTCTTATATACAAAAAAATGAAAATAACAACAAAGCTGAATTTTCATTCTTCATTTACATTATTTCCCCTTTTTTAGGCAAGCAATATCTGCAAACAATTTAAAAACATGAGCTCAAATGGGAATTTATAGCCTTGATAATTTAGTGTACACAGAATTGCGTGATATCCAGTGTAAGAAACAGAAATGCAACTACATTTGTGATTTATAACCTGGATTCCCAGACTCTTAGCTATGCATGAAGGATGCAAAGAACTACCAACTGTTTTTTTCCTTCTTTTCAAATTTTAAAAAACTAGGTGATAAGAGTCACATGGTTCAAAATTCAAAGAGAACTAAAGTAAATACTATGAAATCTCCCTCCCTTTTCTTTCTCTAACATCATGCTTTCCTGGAAAGAGAGAATCAATATTACCTGTTTTGAAACAGACAGGATTTCAATACTTCAAAAAGTCTAACAGAAAATGTACTATTCTCTTCCAAACTGCTAAAGCAGCCAATAATCTATAAATGCTTTCTTTTAAGTTTACCTATTTATTTTGAGAGAGAGACAGAATACCAACAGTCTCCAGCTTTCATTGCAAAGCCCAACGTGGGGCTCGATCCCACAAACTGTGAGATCATGACATGAGCCAAAATCAAGAGTTGGACGTTTAACGCATGGAGCCACCCAGGTACCACTATATATGCTTTTAGATTGGAAACCTCTTAAGCCAGTGTTTGTAACTTTGGTTATTTCTCTGTGATAGAGAAGTATACACAGGTTATTTTGTGTAATATATTACACAAAAAATATTGGCTATTTTTTCATGGTTTTAACAAATTAAAAATGAAGGGAGAAGGGAAAAAACAACAACAACAAAAAAACAGAAAAGGAAAAAAACTTTAGTAAAAATTTTTAGTATCTGACACAAGTTACTTGAAAATCCAGTTTACTTCAGAATACAATTACTATCTTCACAATTTTCACTTCACAGCAGTTGCTAAAGAATTTAAAATATATAATCACTTAAAAATATTTTCTCTGATTATTTTTATCTGCAAACTCACTAAGGGAAGGGGTGTCTTCATTTCTGTGCCCCTCAGCAGCTAGCACGATGGATGGCCTCGGTTCTAAAATTAATATTCACAGTTACCTCAAGGATTGAGCCAAAAAAGGGTCCAGATAAACCGTGTAAAGTGCGGAAATCAGTGCCACGCCTTGTAGTTAAGAGTTCAATAAATGTTAGCTAACGCTATTATTATGTGATAGGTGCCCAGTTAATTACTGAATGAGGTTTAAGAGGTGAAAACATTATTATCCATAGCTTACTGCCTAAATCTTGACTACACTGAAATATGGGAATACACTGATGACAAATATTCTTGTCCCTTAGGCGCAGAGAAAAGGCAACAGAATGGACAGATACTGTGACGCAGCTGGACTTAAAATGACAAAATAGTAAAAGTGAGGGGGCGCCTGGCTGGCTCAGTAGGTTGAGCCACCAACTACCCTTGATTTGGACTTAGTTCATGATCTCCAGGTTCCTGAGATGGAGCCCAGTGCCTACCCAGTGCCCGTCTCTGCACTGGCAGCATGAAGCCTTGGGATTCTCCCCCTCTCTCTGTCCCTCCCCCCATCTCATATACACTAGAGATTTCTCTCTCAAAATAAATAAACTTACAAAAAATAATAAAGGTAAGTTCAATTATTCCAGTAAGACATCTACCCAGACAGCACAGGGGACAGGAGGTGACCAACAAATCTTTCAGCAAACTTAATACATTTAAATTTCAAGGGCATCATTAGCACTAAAATCCCTAGGTTCACCAGGTGAAATCTTGTAGGCCCTTTTGCTCCAGTAGCAAAATCAGGGTCCAACACCTACTTGAGTCATCAATTCTTTTCATCTAACCAACGTTGACAGATGTCACTGGAAGGCCAAACTCAAAGGCAGGTTGCACAAAATGGTAAAAAAAAAAAAAAAAAAAAAGAAGAAGAAGGGAAGAGAGTGCGTCCAGGTGATAGGGAGGAAATCTAGGGGTCTGGAGTGTCATCAGAGTTCATCCCTTGGAAGCTGTATGACCTTATACAGGTCACGTCCCCTTTTCTGGGCCTACTGAGAAAATGAAGTGTTCTCTCCAATTCTGTAGATATTTTGACTTGTGTTTAAAAGGCAGAGGGAATGCATACGATGGAAGGCCTGGAGGGGGCCACACTGATGTTTGAAAGAGCTCGTCCGTGGGGGTCTCTGCTGCCAGTCTTTGCGGGTCTCCCCACCGCAGGGATTCAGGCGCCGGGTTTCGAGGCTGGGACCCGGCGCTGCAGATCCCGCCCGAATTGGGGACACAGAGCCGCCTCACCTACAGGCGCCCACCTCGGGGCGAAACCCCCAACTGCGGCAACGCGGGCGCACCCGAAGGCTCGGTCAGGGGCACTTCTCCCCACCCCGCTGCGGGGGCAGCGACCGCTCCGCTGGTTAACTAAACCCAGCGGCATGCCTGTGCGGAGCTCCTGGCTCGTCACCTACCGCCTACACAGCGCTGCGGCCGCAGCCGCAGCTCCCCAGCCCGGCCGGGCCGCCGCTGCCATCTTAGTCCGAGTGCGCAGCCAGTGGGGCCGCTCTCCCCATGCGCCGAGTGGCGGAAGCCCCGCGCAGGCGCAGGCGCAGGCAGGCCAGGAGCCGGCCAGGCTCCGTGGAGAGCGTACCCTGCCGGCCGCGGGCGGTGCTGCTGCGGATGGGCCGGGGAACCTTAAGCCCGGATCCCGGGAACCATTGCCCAACCACAGATAAGCCCGGACCAGGGCCGGGTGAAGCCCCCGAGACGCTTGCGCAGGAGCCCTAGGTAAGGCATCCAGGACTCAGCGCACATGCGCGGAGCAGTGCTTCGCTTTTCCTTCTGGATGGGTGTAATGCCTACGTTACCATGTCGTTCTCCACTCCTAAACCTGCCCTATTGCCATTTGTAGGATCCTGCCCACCCTCCAGGTGCAGATCAATGATTGCGTCAAAAGACTCCCCTCGAAAGAGTCAGCCTTCAGCGAGATGCCTGCTCTTCTCCCCTAGGGTGCGGTTGGTTCTTTTATCCTTCTGTTAGGCTGGGCTTATAGACCCGGTCATCTTGGACCAATCCCCACAGAGAACTCACCTACTGCGGTGCTGCCCTTTGCTTTATAGACAGGAGTATGTGACTAGCTCCCAGAGCCAAGTGCAAAAGCCTATTAACTACTCTTCCAGAACTTTCCATGAGTATTTTCGCTTTCTCTAGGACAAAAGTTCTCAAGATGTAACTGGGGGCAACAACAGATGGGAACACATTGGAAATCCAAATTAACAGGCCCCACAGCAAACCTACTGAATCACAGTCTCTGGAGGTGGGGTCCAGTAATCTGTTTTAACAGGACCTTCTTCTAAAATTTGAGAGCCACTGGTCTAGAAGGTAAGCACAGTACTGGTTTCTGGATAGAAACAACACACCTGTTGTTGGACAGATTAAAGCCACACCCGCGATATTGGTTTCTATGGTCCAGACAAGCATCCGAGACGGTGGATGGAACTGCAGGCCTGCGGCCCTTGTGGGCTTGGGCACCCAGCAGGCTGTGCCTCCTTTCCACAGTTTACGTTCTGGAGGCCACACGTTGGCTTCCAACGACTGTTTCCTCGCGGACCATTCTAGACCTCAGTGCAGCCCAAGGCTTGCCCCCTTACTCTCTTTTAGATCCTAGATGAAATGTGACTTTTCCACTAAGGAACAGGATCTGGGTAGGGAACAATTTTTCTTCTCTGTTTTTAATTTCCTCTCTTATCGGTTCCTTCCCAAAAGAATACTCCTGCCTTGCCCCAAAACTCCCTCCAGCCACCATTCTCTCTTTTCTTTGTAAAACACTTTGTAAAAAAGTTGTCTACACTTTTAATCTCTAGTTTTTCACCTCTTACTACTCAAACCACTGAAACCACGTTTTTGTGTACTACTGTTCCCTTCTCCCCCCTCCCTCCGCCCCCACTCTGGCTGCCCTAGTCAAGACTGCTCACACCATCCGTGTTGCTATACCTTCTCTGTTATTACCTTTAATAACCCTTCTCTGTTATTTCCTTTCTTGACCCCTGAAACATCCAATGCTGAAGATTTCACCCTCCTTTTTTTTTTATTTTATTTTATTTTTATTTTTTTATTTTTTTTTACAAATAGTTTATTGTCAAATTAGTTTCTACATAACACTCAGTGCTCATCCCCAAAGTGCCCTCCTCCATGCCCATCCCCCCCTCCCCCCCACATCCATCAGTCCTCAGTTTTTGTCAGCATTCAAGAGTCTCTCATGGTTTGCCTCTCTCCCTTTCCCCCACCATTTCCGCCCTTCTTCTCCCCCTTGTTCCTCCGTCAAGTTCCTCCTAATCCTCCTATACGTGCAAACATATGATATTTGTCCTTCTCTGCCTGACTTATTTCGCTCAGCATAACACCCTCAAGGTCCATCCATGTTGCTACACATGGCCAGATTTCATTCTTTCTCATTGCCATGCAGTATTCCATGGTATAGATAAACCACATCTTCTTGATCCATTCATCTGTTGATGGACATTTAGGCTCTTTCCATGTTTTAGCTATTGTGGAGAGTGCTGCTATGAACATTGGGGTCCATGTGCTCCTATGCCTCAGCATTTCTGTATCCCTTGGGTAAATTCCTAGCAGTGCTATTGCTGGGTCATAAGGGAGTTCTATTGTTAGTTTCCTGAGGAACCTCCACACTGTTTTCCAGAGGGGCTGTACCAGTTTACATTCCCACCAACAGTGTAGGAGGGTGCCCGTTTCTCCACATCCTCGCCAGCATCTAGAGTTCTCTGATTTGCTCATTTTAGCCACTCTGACTGGCGTGAGGTGGTATCTCAGTGTGGTTTTGATTTGTATTTCCCTGATGAGGAGGGATGCTGAGCATCGTTTCATGTGTCTGTTGGCCATCTGGATGTCCTCTTTGGAGAAGTGTCTGTTCATGTCTTCTGCCCATTTCTTCACTGGGTTGTTTGTTTTTCGGGCGTGTAGTTTGGTGAGTTCCTTATAGATTCTGGATATTAACCCTTTATCTGATATGTCATTTGCAACTATCTTTTCCCATTCCGTTGGTTGCCTATTAATTTTCTGGGTTGTTTCCTTGGCTGTGCAGAAGCTTTTAATCTTTATGAGGTCCCAACAGTTTATTTTTGCTCTTGATTCCCTTGCTTTTGGGGATGTGTCAAGTATGAAGTTGCTGCGGTGGAGGTCAAGGAGGTTGTTTCCTGCTTTCTCCTCTAGGGTGTTGATAGTTTCCTGTCTCACGTTCAGGTCCTTGATCCATTTTGAGTTTATTTTTGTGCATGTTCACCCTCCTTTTAATAATCTTCCTTGGTACACAACTTTAATGGTTCCTCCTCGGTCTCCTGTTGCAAGGTTTCAGCTGCCAACCTCTTAAATGTTAGTGCTTTTTGGGACCTCCTTCCAGGCACTTTTCTTTCCCTGTTCTTTTGTGATGGAAAACTTCAGGGAGTTTATACCAGGTAGCATTTCCATCAGCCGTAAGAATATGTGCTTCTTTCCTTACAAAAACTGGATTAAAAAAAAGAAAGACAACTTCACCCAGTATTGGTTATTTACATTAATGACTTGGTGAAAAATAAAACAGGTTAGAAACATTGCATAGAGTATGATCCCATCTATGTAAAATTGTATACATATTTGCATAGAGGTGCCAGCTTCCTCTCTTTTTCCCTTTCCCTGGCTGTTTTCAGTTCCTTACTATGCCAGATTATTCCCCACCGCAGGGCCTTTGCACAAATTGTTCCCTATGTGGGGAATGCCTCCCCCCCCCACCTTTCCTTTTCCTTTTCCCCTCCTTTTTTCTTGAATCCCTTGTATTAATTCCCCCACGTCTGAATATAAGGTAGGGATATTCTCCTTAAATATCCTACCTTAGGTGGCCTTTCCTCACACTTCCTTTCATCCCCATTGAAATAGTCTCCTCTATTCTCTCTCAACATACCCTCTCCTTTTCCTTCATAGTGCATTGTCACAACTTAAAATTATGGATTTGGGTATTGATTTTTCCAATGATACTTCTCCTTGCTATGTCCTAAGCTTTATGAGTAACATGCCTGTCTCTTTACTCTTGTGCCCCAGCACCTAGTATAATACCTGGCACATCATAGGTGGTCAAAAAAGAATTAGTTAGGTGAATGAATGTAGTCACCTGAACCCTTTGTCAAATCCAATACACTCGTTCAGTCTGGGTGATGACTGTGCAGACAGCAGAAAGAAGGGGCCTAGCCTCATTCACCCCTTACCTGGTGCCATGCCAAAGGCAGGGGGTAGCATCTATGGAGAGGATTGTGACCACTGGCACATGAAACTGGGGACAGCAGCCAGGTGGACAATTTGGGAGCAGATGTGAAACAGTCTTTATTTTTTCCTCAAATATACTAGAGGGAGGTATATTTACTCGTTCACCACTTATTCAGTAACTATTTTTTAAGAATGAAACTTGCCATTTCAATGACATGGATGGAGCTAAGGAGTATAATGCTAAGTGAAGTAAGTCAGTCAGAGAAAGACAGATACCATACGATTTCACTTATATGTGGAATTTAAGAAACAAAACAAACAAAGGGAAAAAAAATAAGAGTGAGGGAAATGAGACAGACTGTTACTTATAGAGAACTGATGGTTACCAGAAGTGGGGGGGATGGCTTAAATAAGCGATGGGGATTGAGGAGTGCACTTGTCATGATGAGCACAGGGTTATGTATGGAAGTGTTGAATCACTATATTGTACACCTGAAACTAATATAATGCTGTATGTTAACTGGAATTAAAATTATGCCATATTATTCCCCACTTTTGAAACTGACTGAAACTTTTGAAAATGATTAAAAAATAACTTTTAAAAATGTTTATTTTTTGAGAGAGACAGAGAGACAGAGCATGGGCAGGGGAGGAGCAGAGAGAGAGGGAGACACAGAATCAGAAACAGGCTCTAGGCTCTGAGCTGTCAACACAGAGCCTGATGCAGGACCTGAACGGAAACAAACTCAACTCGAATTGCAAGATCATGACCTGAGCTGAAGTTGGATGCTTAACCAACTGAGCCACCCAGGTGCAACCCGAAGTAACTATTTTTAAAATAATTAATTTATTTTTAAAACTCAAGTACATTTAACATGCATTATATTGGTTTCAAGTGTACAGTGTAGTGATTCAGCAGTTTTATACATCACTCAGTGTTCATTATGATAGACATACTCTTAATCTCCTTCACCTATTTCACCCACCCCCCACCCACCTCCCCTCTGGCAACCAGCAGTTTGTTCTCTATATTCAAGAGCCTATTTTTTGTTTGTCTCTTTTTCCCTTGTTCACTTGTTTTCTTTCAATAACCACTGAATGCTTTCTCGATAACGGTGCCAGGCACTATGCTTTGTACTAGGGATTGAGGCAGACAATGCTAGATACCTTCCAATATTCACTTTCCCCTTCTTTGCTAGCCAACACTGACTTTGCTTAGGTGGCAATGTGTCCAATCTAATGATGATGATGATGATAATGATGATGATGATGATAGTAATAATAATAATAATTCTAACCTGTCTTGTCATGTGGCACAGTTCCACCCAATGAGACAGGTGTGGAAGACGCCAGAAATGTCTGAAAAGGTTTTGCTTTCCTGCCATAGGTGCTGGCCCTTCGTCCTGCTTGCATGGGGTGGGAATACTGGAGTCAAGGCAGCCATGCTTCGGCCATGACGTCCCTGAGGAAATGAGCCAACAACTACCAGTAACCATCTTCTTCCATGAGAAGATAATTGGCCACAATTTTGCTGATGCCACTGGTTAATCGGGTCTCCTGTTACTTGCAAATGATCAAAATCCTTGGTATGAGGATAAAAAGATGCACAGAACAATTCCTGGTCTCGGAACTCCTAGAGGAGAGACGTGTAAATCCGGGAAGGCAGCCCTGGGGAACAAAGTGCTACCCAAGGGCTATGTTGAGGGCCCACTGGTGGCAGGTAAGAGAAGTGAATGATGATTTTTCTGGGTGACAGGAGAGCGGGAAGAAGGCTTCACATAAGAGGAACTGCTTGTGTTGACTGTTTAAAGAAAAATAAGCGTTAAGATGTTCCTGCCATGGACGGCGGTACAGACCTAGACCACAGGCACCAAGTCCTGGTTCCGTTGCTCACACTGGTCTCACTAGACCGTGAACTGCACACAGCCACGCCAAGTTTATCTTCTTGATTTTGTTCCCAGTGTCTGGCATTTAAGAGAGGCTCAAAATATACTTGCTGAATTGAAACCTCTCTGAAGTCCCATAGTCATCTTCTACCATATTTTATTCATTAATATGCTAATTATTTAGAGTCATCTACTCCCCCTAGAAAGTATACCACACAAGGGTGCCTACCTTGTAACTAAGGTATCTCACCTGCTGAGAACAATGCCTGGCACACAGGAAGTACTCAATCAATACTTGTTGAGTGAATGAGCCCTAACTTTTATGACCTGTGAAATGTGGATAACAATATCAAAAATGGTTGTTGAGTGGATGAGAGAAAATTGCATTTCAGGTGCCTTGCACTGAGCTTGTCACATGGGTAAGCTATAACGATGCTGTTGTCTTCTCCTGTAAAACTCTGGGACCCATTCCTGACATGTCTACAAGCGGCAACACCTGAGGTCAGCAGCCTAGTCTGTTCTTCCTAGAACTGAGACAGGTTTGAGAATTTCTAGGGGCCAATGGGACAAGTTCCAGCAGATAAATGTTTGCCTGAGGCATTGAAAAGCCTGCCAGGAAAGAATTCCTCTCTGGGAAGAAGTCAGTATTCAAAAGTCTAATTCATGGGGCGCTTGGGTGGCTCAGTTGGTTAAGCATCTGACTCTTAATTTCGGCTCAAGTCATGATCTCACAGTTCGTGGGATCAAGCCCCACGTTCTCTCTCTGCCTCTCTCTCTGCCCCTCTCCACTAGTGCTCTCTCTTTCTGTATCTGTCTCTCTCTCTCTCAAAATAAATAAATGTTTTAAAAAAAAAAGTTTGATTCAAGATCAATGACCCTTGCTGCTCAGACTTTCTTTGGCCCAACACCCATGGACACTGCCTGAGGCCTGGGAAGGGGACTTGAAACCAGGGTGACACGCAAAATAAGAGAGCTGCTTTGTTAAAACATCCAAGACTATCTAAGACCGTGTGAGCCCTGAGCCCTGGGTCATCCCACTTTATTAGAAGGCCACAGCAGCCGGTCTGGACAGGAGAAGGCGGAGGATTTTACATGGTGGATGCCTTGACCTTCTGGGACTGATTTGGCAGCAAGTTGCAGAGCAGTTGAAGTAAATATGTAAATGATAGAAGAACAGTATCTGTTCCAAGCACAGGTGATCCCAGGAATAGCTGGAAAGAGATGCAGATCATTAGAGTTTCTACAGAGATGGGGGACAGAGAAATATTGTAATGCGACTGTTTTTACCCAGAGATCGATTAAAGTCTCAAGAAATATTAAAGAGGTAACAAAAGAGATAATGCCACCTCCCCCCCTCTCCTCTTCCTTCTTTTTAGAGATAATACCTTCTAATTATCACTCTAATTACATGTAGTTCTCTCTACACTCTTTGGTTTGTTGGTTAAGAGAAAAAATTCTGTTCCTATTTCTTAAATATTCTAGAATAAACATTTTATTTTTTAATGTTTACTTATTTTGAGAAGGTGGGGGAGGAGCACAGATAGAAAGAGAGACTCACCAGCAGGCATGTCTCTCGAACCATGAGATCATGACCTGAGCCAAAATTGAGAGTTGGATGCTTACCTGACTGAGCCACCCAGGCGCCCCTGGGATAAACATTTTAAAGTAAAAGTCCTACTACTTTCAAATTTCCACACATCACTATACAAGTCTTGGAATTCCTCTGCTATTTTATGCTCCCAGGCTTCTACCAACAACCACCAAAACCTTGGCTTCCTTCATCATACTTCACTGTCTGCTTTCACCCCCAAAGCCAGAAAAGTGTCCTCAGATTGAGATCTATGAGGAAGAGAAGACATGTGGTCATTTGGGTTTATTACTGTGTGTATGTAGCCAGAGGAGTTTGGCTTCTGGCCATGCAGGGTGTGCCCTGTATCATAACCCTAGGAGCCACAGTAACACAGGCCACAGTGTGAATCATATCCCCTGAAGTTGCACCGTCATAGCTCTGTGTCACAGGGTATGGTCTGGGACTTTTCCTGTTTTAGAGTTTTGGCTAAAGCCTCAAAGTCAAGGACATTGAGTGATTAGGACTCTGAAAGTGATTAGAGGCAACACTGTGGGTTTCCTAAAAGATGTAGAAAAATGGTGACCACCCCCCTCAACCCATCCTGGCTACATAAGACAGACCAACTGAAAATCATATTTTATTTATTTATTCTAAACATATTTTGGGGGGGGCCTGGGTGGCTTAGTCGGTTAAGCGTCCGACTTCGGCTTAGGTCATGATCTCACATTTCGTGGGTTTGAGCCCCACGTCGGGCTCTGTGCTGACAGCTAGCTCAGAGCCTGGAGCTTGTATTCAGATTCTGTGTCTCCCTCTCTCTCTGACCCTCCCCTGCTCATGGTGTCTCTATCTCTGCCTCAAAAATAAATAAAACATTAAAAAATTTAAAAATAAAAACACATATTTTTGTAATGTTTTACTTATCTTTGAGAGAGAGAGAGTGCGGGGGCGGGGGGCCAGAGAGAGCCGGACACACAGAATCTGAAGCAGGCTCCAGGCTCTGAGCTGTCAGCACAGAGCCTGACATGGGTCTCAAACTCACAAACTGTGATAGCATGACCTGAGCCAAAGTCAGACGCTTAACCAACTGAGCCACCCAGGCGCCCCTGACAATCATATGTTTAGGCCCAGGGTGCCCACAAGGAGTGTGGTGTCTCACCTCCTGGTCACAGGCTTCCTGAACTATAGGAACTCTGGGTCTGCCTCCCTAGTTACTGAGATAAAACATATCCCCAGGAGTTTGGGGGGTGAAGCCTAAAGATAGGAGGCACTCTGGAGCACCCCACAATGACACAGCAAAGTGGGGAGGAACAGGGGACCAGCTTGCACTCCTGACACTTGGAGGGACAAGGATGCAAGACTTTCCATAGAACATGGAGTTGCTACAGAAGCGAGCCAGGTTGAAGTGTTCTGGAGGGCTCTCACCCACGAGGGTCCCCAGGTGGGCAAGGGGTTCCAGCTGGCTGCGTGGAGTATACCACCGGTGGCAGAAGGTGAGGGGAGTGGATTGCAAGAGTGAGTGAGAGCCGAGCTCAGAAAACTCATCTGTAAAGGGCCAGAGAGGAAATATTTTAGTCTTCCTAACCATATGGTGTCTACCACAACCACGCAACGCTGCCATTATAGAGCAAAAGCAGCCATGAGCAATACAGAATATAAATATATGGGTATAGCTGTGTCCCAATACAGCTTTGTTTATGGACACTGCCATTTTCATTTCAGATAATTTCAGGTCATGAAATATTCTGATTTTTTTTCCAGACATCAAAAAATGGAAAAACCATGCTTCTCTGCTGCTCGGATTTGTCCCACAGGCTGTTGTTCACCAACCGCCCGAGCTAGAGGGTGTGTCACCCTGAACAGGAACAGGGCAGAGGGCCACGGGCAGCCCCAGACAAGGACAAGGATGCTGCACCCTGGCCCCAATGCCCCTCCTCCTGCCCCAGCCGCAGGAAGCAGGTGTAGAAGGAGGAGGCTGGCTCCGGAGCCCAACCTAGGGAAAGGGGGGAAGCTCTCCGGCAAACGGAAGATGGAAGGCATAAAGACTTGGCTAGATTTATTACCGCTTGAGAGGACTGTGGGAAATATGATCATTTTTAAAGCTGAACCAGACCAGAAGTGATGGGACCTGCAGGAATTTTATCAAAGAAGTGGGAAGATCACAAGGACCATAGTTAAGCCCTTTGCCAAACTCTTACTTATCTTACTGAACTCAGTCTAATCAAAACAATGGTTGCAAATATTTTAACAGTTCCCTTTTTAGCTACTCCAATCTTAACCCTTTGAGTTCCTAGCAGATTTTACTTTGCAGAGAAAAAGTTAGAATACTTGATGGTAGCAGTGGTGACAGTGGGCTTTCTACATGTCGGAGCCCTGCCCAGACTCACACACTCCTCTCTGCCAGAGGCATCCACAATATTCTGCTGAAGAGCTCTGTTTTGTTTCCTTTTCTTTTGAACTGCCCTTCTCTACCTAAAAGCAGAGCCTCCCAAAGAATTCATTGGTTATAAACCAATCCCCTCTCCAGGGATTCATCCACTAGGAAGGATGGCTATCATTAGAGAGAATTTGGCTCAGGAAGAAGCAATCACCCAAACAGGTATTTTGACAAAACTCTCATATCTCTATTCCCCATTTATCTTTTCCTAGAAGTCACTTGTTTTCCTAAGGTGTCCTTCTCCTTTATTTAAAAAAATTTTTTAATGTTTTATTTATTTATTTATTTATTTATTTATTTTGAGAGAGAGAGAGAGAGAGAGAGAGACAGCGTGAGCAGGGGAGGGTCAGAGAGAGAGGGAGACACAGAATCTGAAGACAGGCTCCAGGCTCTGAGCTAGCTGTCAGCACAGAGCCCGATGCGGGGCTTGAACCCACAAACCGTGAGATCATGACCTGAGATGAAGTCGGATGCTTAACCGACTGAGCTCCCCAGGTGCCCCCCATTTCCCTTATTAAGATGGTATATAAACCCAAGTTCTAACTGCCTCCTTGAGTCATATTTTTCTATGAACTCCTGTGTAAGTATGTGAATCAAAATATCTTTTCTTTTGCTAATCTGTCTTTTTGGCAGTTTAATTCACAGGCCCCCAGGAAAATCACAGGAAAGGGTAGGGGAAAAACGTTTTTCCTCCTTGGCACTGCATTACTCTTACCTGCTTTCTCCCATAGTGGGAGAAGAGGCGTCTTCCTCACCCAAAGCCAGTAACTTCATTTGTGTTCTAGATCCACCCCACTCCTCACTGACCCTGCCATTTCTTAGGGACTTTGCCCAATTTATTATTTTAAAAATATTTTTTAATGTTTATTTTTAAGAGAGAAACAGACAGCGCAAGCGGAGGAGGGGCAGAGAGAGGGAGACACAGACACCAAAGCAGGCTCCAGGCTCCAAGCTGTCAGACAGAGCCTGACACGGGGCTCAAACCTAGGAACCATATCATGACCTGAACCGAAGTTGGACGCCTAACTAGCTGGGTCACCCAGGCACCCCACCCAATTTATTATTTTTTAAGTAAACCTCTTATTCTTCCCCCCTCCCCGACCTAAATTGTTTATTA